TCAGGGAAGAGCGTGAGAAGGTGGGAGACCATGGAAGGGTGGGAGTTCACAGGCCAGTGCAGAGAGCAGAGAGGGAGGGAGGCAGGGGTGGAGCAGGGAATGACAAGACAGCTGCAGCAAAGACCAAGGACCAGTGATGGCCCGTCAGGACTGGGCCCCTTCGCGGCTGCCTGGGCCATGGCCACAAGTCCTGCATGACCTCTGCCAGCAGAGGGCGCCCAGGGCCTTTGCATTAGTCAGCTCTCCCGGGAGGCAAAACAGGATGGCAAGAGCAGAGCTGGGAAGGTGCCACTGGGCTGAGAATCTCAGGCAGAACCCAGACAGCAACTTCAGAATCCACCCACCTGGGGGAGGTGATGGGGGGGATGGCAGAGCGCTGGCTGAAACTCAGTTGGCTCGAAAACAAATCCAGATTCTCAGAGCTCGTGTGTGAGTGGGTGTGCGTGTAGTATAAACTACCAGGCAACTAACGAATCCTAATAAGAGGAAGATAGGAAGAACAGTAAGTAATATTTGTTTATTGATCCTATTTGTTGATCATCAGCTATGTCCTAGGTAGTGTGCCAAGATACATGGGAATGTGTATGTCATTTTCACCACGGGAGAATTCTATAACTATTCCCATTTTACAGATGAAGACATGGATCCTCAGAGAGGTTAAGGAACTTGTCCAACTGAGGTCCACAGTTAGGAAGTGGTAATGGGGCTCCTAGTACTGAGAACCCGGTACTCAGTAAGCACACATTCACTGGATCAATCCAGAGCCCGTGCTCCTGATCACCGGGATAACCTGGGACCAGGCCAGGGCGGGGTGAGCTTCCGAGCCCAGGGATATCACTGTACGTGCATATCTGTGTGTGTGCGGGTCTGCATAAGTTGTGTCTCTAACGGCGACAGGGCTACTGTTTCTTTGGACAAACATCTCCCCTCGCCAATATCCGTGAAAACAGTTCAATCTCAATTGACATTATATGGAAACAATTCATAAGATTTTTAAAGTAGCAGATCCTGGGTTCCAGGGACTCAGGAGAACTCTGGGAGTGGGAGGTCTCTTTCATTCCACAAATGTGTTTTGGGGTCTCCCAGGCACACTAGGGGTACGGCAGTGGGAATTCAGAGGAGGTGCCTGGTGGAGAACGCAGGCACTGTGTGAAGGTCTCAAGGCCTCCACCATCTAGCCCCTGCCTACTCCTCTGCCTTGTTTCATGAGCCACTGCCCCTGCCCGCGGTCCAGCTGCACTGATTGGCAGTAAGTTCCTCTGATGGGGCATACTCACTTCCTACAAAGGGTCGGCTTAGGATTTGCCCTCTCACTCTGGAAAGCTCTTGCCCCCCAGCCCCCTGGGGGGGCAGCAGGCCAACTCCTACTTGTCACTCAGACCCCACATTATTCCTCTGCCCTTCAGAAACCTTCCCAAGGTCAGTTCTCCTGTTATACCCTCTCATAGCATCTTGCTCTTTTCTTCTAGGAAGAGCTTCATAGTTCCTAACCCAGATGTGCTCTTCGGGACCTTGATGGATACCTACTCTCCCACTAGACTGTGAGCTCCACGGGGGCCAAGACGATGCCTGTCCCATTTGCTGCCGCCTTCCCCAGGGCCTAGCCCAGTGCCAACTGCATACAAAGTAGGTGCTCAATGAACGTTTGTTGCGGAAGCAAAG